ATGAATGTGGTAAAATATTCACTCAGTCACGTAACCTAGAAACACATGAATGTGATAAAATATTCCCTCAGTCACGTAACCTAGAAATATGAATGTGGTAAAATATTCACTCAGTCACGTAACCTAGAAACACATGAATGTGATAAAATATTCCCTCAGTCACGTAACCTAGAAATATGAATGTGGTAAAATATTCACTCAGTCACGTAACCTAGAAACATGAATGTGATAAAATATTCCCTCAATCATATAACCTAAAAAATATGAATTGTGATAAAATATTTTCTCAGTCATGTCACCTGGAAACACATAAATGTAGTAAAATATTCACTCAGTCACGTAACCTAGAAATATGAATGTAGTAAAATATTCACTCAGTCACGTAACCTAGAAATATGAATGTAGTAAAATATTCACTCAGTCACGTAACCTAGAAATATGAATGTAGTAAAATATTCACTCAGTCACGTAACCTAGAAACACATGAACGTGGTAAAATATTCAATCAGTCACGTAACCTAGAAATATGAATGTGGTAAAATATTCACTCAGTCACGTAACCTAGAAACATGAATGTGATAAAATATTCCCTCAGTCACGTAACCTAGAAATGTGAATGTGGTAAAATATTCACTCAGTCACGTAACCTAGAAACACATGAATGTGGTAAAATATTCCCTCAGTCACGTAACCTAGAAACACATGAATGTGGTAAAATATTCCCTCAGTCACGTAACCTAGAAACATGAATGGACAAAATTAATTATGTTATTAATGAATTTTCAGTAAATCTGCAATTCACTGTTACAGACAAAAAAGTTTTTGATGGTCATCCATTAGAAAAAATATTCCTATTCGGATTTCAATGGGTAGGCACACAACGATTTATATTCATAAGGAAATATTTTTATTCATGGTGGAATATACTACATGTTTCGAAGAAGACAGACCAATGTATATATTCCACCATGACTAAAAAATTTTCCTTATGCTTATAAATCGTTGTGTGCCTAACTGTTATTATATTAGCGTAATGTGCTTCCTTACTCAAGTATCCTATTCGGATTGTAAATCATAAAATCCTAACGAGTCACTGTTTTCTTTAACCATAAAATTCTCTGTACCTCGCATTGATAGAACATGAAAAAGAACTGGCGTAGCTTAGTGATTAGTGTGTTATGGTGTGTAAATTGCAAGAACCTTGGCTAGACGATACTCGCTGGTCCACATTGTCAGCTTAGAGGCCATTAAAAGTAGTTCCAACAGCAATCCTGCTATTCGGATAAAACCGTTGGGGAGCTGCTGACTGGTTGCCCTCCTATTGGTCAGTAACAGCTACCTAAATCTTGGAGTCTCTGATATGGTAGTTGTACTCGTATATTGCACAAGGTCTCTTTCAGGTTGAAAACATTCAACAACGTATTTGAAAAGTCACAGAATTGTTTAAACTGGAATTGCTACTTTTTTTCAGCAAATCTTTACGCTTTGCAGAAATGCTCTTTTTAATGCCAGGAATATATATGAACATTTGTTGTTTTGGCTATAGGAAAAACCCGGTAAACTTAAATACGTTTTTCCTACAAAAACATCAACGTTATTACGATTGTTTTCGTACAGATTTAATCATTTTTATTAAACGTATGATTTAATAAAGACATAGCTAAATTTTGAAACATGTACTTATTCTGTGTTGAATACACGAGCAAATTCGAAATACATTTTTAAAGTATTGATGTTACGTAGTGCATGTACTTACCTTCTGTGAAAAGCAAATATGAAATTTTACATACAGTAAGGAATGAAATGTTGCCCTCGAAGTATTTTATTTGGAATTATTAGTACTTAAAGCAGTATGTTCAAATATGCTAAATAATGCTTGTACGAGTAATGATAAAAAAAGTTTAACAAGTCCTTGTAAGGCTATAACTAGTAGTTTCACAAGTTTAAAGGTATTTTCTTTACATTGTAACAATTATTCTCAGTAGTTTTATACTGTTTTAATTACAGTGGTTCATTTAGTGTTCATAAGTTAGCAAGTACCTTAGCAATATTTACATTAATAGTCTCATATATTATAAGTGAACAAAATATATTACTAACCAAAAACTACTAATGGGTTATAGGTGCATTTTAAACCTTCTCTTTGCAAGATATCGCTTATCGTATATTTATATTTGTTAGCTATACAGACCAAAAATATCTATTTCTCTCTCACCTGCACTCGAGCACTGTTATTATTAGTCTTCTTCCAATCTGAAATTGAATTTGTTTCGTTTCCATTATCGCGTCCTTTGTTCAGTTCGTTAGTGAAGAGGATCTTTGCTATCAGTCCATATATTACACAAGACAGAAGCAGCGGGAAAATATAGAAAAGCATCAGATCCGCAAAGAAATAGCCCAGGTAATGTTCTCTTGAAAGAGCAAAGGTGCAGGTTTCCACATCTGCGTGGCCTTTGTAGTAAATGGGAACTGTTTTTGTTAGGAAAAGCCAAGGAGAGCAGTAGAGACAAGCGAACACCCAAACCCCGATTATAATCTTCTTGGCTCTGTTGACGGTGCAAACCATCTGGGCCTTCATGGGATGGCAGATGGCGATGTACCGTTCTATTGTGAAAGCTGTGATGGACAACGACGAAGCATTGATCCCTAAATACTGAAGAAAGATGAAAATAATACAACCAGCTCGACCCCAGATCCACTCATCTCCTAGAAGAAAGTAAGACAAGACCTCGTTGGGTACAGAAGCTATGAGGACCATTAGGTCAGCTATAGACAAACTGACAAGATAACAGTTGGTAGGGGTCAGCATACTACGGGTCTTGGTTACAACTATTACAACCATAGTGTTACCAAGAGCGCCTACGAGAAAAATGGCACCCTGGAAGATAGTACCTACAATACGATAATTCAGCGAGTAGTAAGTTGGATCTTGATAATCCGTTACGTTTTCTGTTTTATTTAAATTAATCAAGAATGTGCTAAAGTTGGTTATGTTGGACGATAATCCTGAGAAATCGTACTCTGAACATCCATTATCATCATAACGTAGCGGTAAAAGTGTCACGCGCGACGTCATTGTAATTATTTTGAAAAATTTGTTAGTGATAGTTAGATAGGTTGGTAGATGAAAATAACACTCGTAAATCCCCTTGTGATAAGTCTATACGATTTTCATTCAAAGGTAGTCAATATAAAAAAAGCAGAGTTACGCAACATCTAGAACAAAAGAAGTTTTTAAACAAATTAGTAGAAATAAAGTTTAAACTTCTTGATGATAAAATGATTAAATGTTCAAGTTTTGGTCAAAAGTTGCGAAGTTTAGAGAGACTGTTGAATCTATGACACATATATGCGTATGAGTAAATCTGAAAATAGTCGGTACCGTCTCTACTTTCGGGGGTTCTTCGTTTCACCTCAACACATGTGCCACCGATTCTCAGGTCCTCTTGCCTAAGAATGTTTCCCCTTTGTGAGTTTTATTCTGTTAGCTGCAGAGTATTATTCTGGTAGCTGATTGGTGTTTGCAGTCGACACAACTCTGTAACGTTCTGTATCTGCGCGGAGCTGTTTCCATGACGACTAAGTTCGATATGAACTCTAGTAACTGCTGTTTTTTATAAGAATAATGTTTTTGTTTGTTTGTTTTCATTATGTTTTTCATTCTTACCTTTGTTCGTTTTTTGTAATATTTACACGTTTTTTGTAATATTTACACGTTTTAGTATTACAGCTTTATATTTGTTCTTTCTAATTTTGTTTTTATTTGGATTTTCCCGCTTTTCCAGTTTCTGCGTTCTTCCTTCGCTTGCTTACCTACGCTTTCCAATCTTAAGGTTTTCCCCCGTTCATGAAAAGAATTGTTCAGAAGTTTTTGTTCCCCTTTCCATCTTGAGCATTTCTATCTCTTGTTCTTTGGTTTTATATCATATTTAATTGGGTTCATTTCAAACATACCTTCCTCTTTTCACGGACTCGTTTTATATCAGCCTTTTCCTACTTTTATTTCCCTCTTTATTTTAAACCTCACCCTCTGATTTCACCATATAAGCATACTTCTAAAACGTATACTGTATTACTATGTTGTTTCTTTTCAGCGCTAACACTGTATAAATTAATCTAAGAACTAACATGTGTATTTAAATTTATGTGTTTTTACTTGAAACATCATATTTGCTGGGCTTTTAATTTTATTTTCCTTTTTTTACCGTTTTACCTGTTTCTTAATTATTCCTAATTGAGCTTTAGGATAATAAAAAAATTAGGTAATCACTTATACTTTTCCTAGAAACCGTTTGATAACATTCGATAACACTTAGCATTCTTTGTTGTTATTTTGTTTGTTTTAAGCCTATATTCAAATAAACTGACTAGAATATTTATCGAAATTCCAAGTGCAATGTTAGTGTTAGAAATATCTCGAACTATCACTCTCAAATTAATGTATGGGTAAATGATAGAATTATAACAAAGCAATAAATGCTAACGTCAAATATTTATCACAAATTAACTTGGCTAATATAATTTAGGCTTCAAACGTTTATACACGTAACTTATATTTTAACAAAAATTGAGATCATATTTAAAAAGTATTTCCTCTTGATATTATTTAATCAGTAGTTTTAATCTAAAATCAAAATAATGATATTATCTATAATGCGTAACTAATTTATACGTTGATTATGCTCTCACAAGCTATGCCTATGGCTTATTTGATTTTTCAGTGAACCATAAAGTGTGGAACATTAAAATTTTAACCCTTCGATGAAGTATTGCTATATTAGTTTCTGAATATTAAAGGTGAAAGTTGTAGAAATTACAATAATATTGCCACAGATAGATTAAAACGTTTGTTTGTTTGTTTGTTTTTGAATTTCGCGCAAAGCTACACGAGGGCTATCTGCGCTAGCCGTCCCTAATTTAGCGGTGTAAGACTAGGGTTTCCCAGGACAGTTCCTTTCCTTAATTACATTCGAAACATTGCCAATTTTAAAGGAATTTGATCTCTCTTTTTCAACAAACCAGGTTGAATTGTCATTCAAGGAATACTTTGAGAGTGGTATATAAGAACTCACACCGAGTAAACCAGTCCTATCAAACTTAAAATTAATACTTTCCAGTATAGATAAAGGACCAACTTTTGAACTTTCTTCTTCTAAGTCATCATCCGAAGTATTCATGGTGATCTTTTTTTTTCAATAAATTTTGAATTCTGATTGTCTGTTGTGAAAGGTACAGTCCAGTTCAGAACATAATATAGATTAGTGATTATAATGGTGCACAAAACAGTTTTCAGGACGACTTTTAATAACTTCTTTACTTTTTTACTGTTGATAACCCTCGAAACCATTTTATAAGAGAAAGAAGGAAAGGATCTGCCAGAGAAATGAGTCTAGGAACAGCAGTGCTGAAATAAGTGATATATGAATACAATAATTAAAAAGGCTATAATATGACTATAAATTATAAGGTAACTTATGTAATTTGCTATTTTTCATACATTAAAAATTCATATTCCTTCTGATTCCGTCTAACAATTTTCGACCACAAAAAAAAAAGACCAACATTGGCACTTAGATAGGCCTCGTGAAGAGTGATCGCTCGAAAGCAGTAAAAAACAAAATAATCCTTTCAGACTTGTGGAATATTTTTAGTTTTTTAACTGTAATACAAAGAACCATCAGTGGCATTATACAACACAACAACGCTTCTATTTTGTTAGGCCTATGCTACACAATAACGCTTCTAATTTATTAGGCCTATATATCACCAAAGCACTTAAACTTTGGTAAGGCAAACTCCTGTTCAAAATGTTGGCATCAGCTTATTTAAGTTTATATTATGAACAAAACTGTTATTTATTTGTTCATTTCTTTTCTTCAATAAAACATGAATTTCATGAAGAAAATACGAAGTAGACGTCTTATCTATTCTTTGATTTGCTACTCCCGCTGCAACAGACTAGATTTACCGAATTCACCGCTCATCAGTGCTACTTAGAAGAGTGAAGCAAATATATAAAGTAGGCCTCAAATTGTGTTGGAATGTAAGCAATTTATTTGTTTGTTTGTTTTTATAGTAGTCTACTCATAATTGATAACCTAAAGTAATTAAGGTGTTTAGATAACCAAAACGTATATTCTATATATATATTTATGCCTGTAAGGAATCCAAATGTTGTGATTTATATTTATTCAATGTTCCGATACGACCTAGTTTCCAAATCCCAAAAGTAATCAAACACAGAATATTGATACATTGGCAGGCATGAAGTGTGAATTTGTATTTTATTTTATATTTAAACAAAATAATTACTCTATCTAGACCTTATAAATAACTATATTTATTTATATTGTATGTATTATTTTTATCTCACGAATAAATATACGTATTTATATTGCATGCATATATATCGCGTTGACTCCATGAGCGCCCACAGAAATATTTTCAGGAGGAGGCAAAACATGTATGTAAGGGATCAGCTTTTACGGCGCAAGTCAACAGAATAAAATAATATGTGTTATGTGTGCTTAAACGCAAACTTACAGTTTTAATAAAACTCGCAATCAGAGGGTCGCGGGTTCGAATCCCAGTCCCACCAAACATGCTCGCCCTTTCAGCCGTGGGGGCGTTATAATGTGACGGTCAATCCCACTATTCGTTGGTAAAAGAGTAGCCCAAGAGTTGGCGGTGGGTGGTGATGACTAGCTGCCTTCCCTTCGAAGTGGTTACTGTGTACTGGAAGCGGTTTATGAAGCCGAGAACACGACGGGTTTCAACAGCAGCGTGACTTTAACTACCCAAGCTACCTCAGGGTTCGAATACCACGTAGAGGAACTTTGTCGTCGATGGCAAGGTCCTGTTTCAGTTTCAGTTTATGTTCCCGGTGCTGATTTGGAATCCGCTATAGAAAACATTGAGTATCTCCGACGTTGTGGTCACGGATGTGTCCGGCAGTGGGTCACTTGGCATTTTCTGTATGATCAGTTGCATCCACCAGAAAATTCTTTTTTAGAATTATCTCTAAATTTAATGCACAAAAAAGTTTCGTCAGATTCAAAGATTGAGTTCTTTTCCTTACCAGACTACCCTATATCTAGTAATCTCTCGAAGGTTCGAGAGAAGGAGTGGCGTGATAATAGTCACGTGACCTCGCTGACGCAACAATATGCTAGAGCAAGACTAACAGTACAAAAGGAGATAAGAATAATAATTTATTCCGTCAAAGCGTGGTTCTAAAGTAAATGAATCAGCCTGAGTGCTCTTTGATAAAAGGAACAGAGGATATTTTGTAGAAAGAAAACCAAACGATTACTGGAATAGAAGTATACGATTGCGGTAACTCGTGCCACAATTGTAAGTGAATTATACACAGAATACTAGTGCGATAGAAATAGGGAAAGGTAATTCAGCTTGTGAAATGAAATTCTAAAGTAATTGAATAAGCCTACGTGGACTTTTGACAAGACGAAGAGAACCATATATTGTTTATGATAACCCTATGATCTCTATATTGGAATGAATTTGTTGTATACGTTAAACTAGTTCCGAATATATATATATATATTATTTTGAAAATAAGTGGAGTTATGTGCTATTCATTTATCGTTAAATTTATCGCCAACAAGTCACAGACACCTACTGTAGAAGAATCCTAAGCCCAACAGTATATATTTATAGAGTGATGTTCCTAGTTACCAGAAAATGTGATATATGAAATTTAACCACGTATAAAATTGTATGATGGCCCCTTTTAATTACTTTTATTACAATGTACAACTATGGCAACATTTGGTTTAAGTCTTAGTATATATTCATCGTTGTCAGCGGAGAGTTTCAGGGTATATAATCCTAAAATTTAGGATTCGATTCCTCGCGGTGGACATAACGCTTAAAAACTAACAAACAAAAATAAATTCATAATAAAATAATATACCTAAATTGCTGCTTAAGGTTTCTTAAGTTTCTGGAACTCTTTTTAAGAGACTGGATGTCGTATTTAACGTATTTTTCGGAATATAAGACGCACCCTTATTTTGAAGACAAAGTTTTGGGGGAAAAAGCTACAGTCGCATTTGAAAGATTTTTATTGAACAAAAATTCAATTTGATACTTTAAAAATTAATATATATTGTTCTAAACACAAAAGAGCTCAAAACATCAAAATAAGAAAATACCGTAAACAAAAAAAGGTTTACTGTTATTTAGTTTGGTTCAAAACCTATAAAATCTTCATTGCTTGCACTGTCGCTTGGAAAGGAATCATTGGATCCAATATTATGGTCAAAAAGAATGTCATCCTCGGTCCCATCCATTGCGTTACTGATACCACATTTCTTAAATGACTTAATCACTATATCACTTCTTACTTTTTCCCGCGAATTCTTCACCCACATGCAGACCTAGGCCTTTGCGTTTCATGAACCGATAACACCACGATGTATGACCAGTAAAATCTTCTAAACTATTATCACATACAATCCTCTTTGCTTTAAAAATTATCATATTTGTAGAAACGGATAGTCCTTGCCTTCTCTGATCCACAACCCATTCATACAGTTTATTTTCGAGATCTTGCCATTTTGTGTTTTTTTTCCTCGGAAATTGCGTTTATCACTTTTAATCATTTTCAATTATTCTTGTTCGCGCCAGCAATGAATCATTTTTTTTTCTGTTGGTGGAGGACCAAAATATCTTTCGGCAGCTGTTTCCATGCTCTTTTGCATAATTAATCGCACTTAATTTAAATTTAGCTGTGTATGACAGTCTCTTTTCTTTAGACATCGTAAGAGGTGAAAAAATAGAACGAAAAATAAAGAAACAACTATTTTGCTCCTGAGGCCTAAGATACGGTACTTCGGCTTTCGGTGACGCATCCAACTTGACAGTAAGCACGTGCCAGACTGCTGAGTATCAAATGAAAATTGAAATACCGATTAGGCGATTGCCGACGCTAATTGCATTAAGCGCTCTGACTTGTCAAGCGCATTGCACATTTGAATTCAAGGCAAGCACTTAAAAACGATTTGTTATTTGTTAAAGTTAAGCCTGAAACGGCCTTATTCTGCTCCACATTAAACAGGGGTCGTCGTGTACTTACAAGCTTTTTCACTCTCATCCATTACTATAATTTATTTTTTTATTATTTAGGGAGCATTATAAATAGTTATGTTTTTAAAAGAAAAAAAATTGCTATTGTTATAAATAACACATTCAATTGAACTAAATTATGCATGCCTATTTAAATATACGTATTTACACGTGGCTTGTGTATATCGTATATATACATATATATTATTCATACCTTCGGTGTATAGGATGCAAGCAGATTTTGACATCAAATTTTGAGGTAAAAAAGTGCGTCTTATACACCGAAAACTACGGTACTTTAAATGAACCGGGAAGATTGTCTGGATGGGTCAACTGTTTTAACCACTCGCACTCCTATACAGTAGTGTGTTGTCTGTCAGTCAGTCAGTAGACATTAAAATGACGTCCCATAAGGGATGCTTAACGTTGCAGTTTGTACTGTTGTGACGTCAATAAAACGTGTGTATGCTATGAATCAAAAGAAGAATTAGTGTGCTCTGTACGATACAACAAAGCATGATATACGAACTTCAAAATCCAAGAAATAAAAATATTTTGTACTCTTAATTTTGGTTTTTACTCGTGAAACAGAACACTTTTGAGGTCCCTGCGGAAGTACATCGAGTTTTTAAAGCGGTATCTTGTGTGTTCACCCAATCTCTACACAAGTAGCAACGCTCAGAACTCACTGGTAAAAAAACTAAACGGAATTATGTCACTAACAAAAACTACCACACAGAGACAGAAACTAAACGTGTCAAGTTCTAATATCATCATGCATAAAACTTGAAAGTAAAAAATAAATATCTGACTGCTCACGTAGAAGAAGTTTTCATTATGGTTTTAGTCATAAAAACCTTTGAGATTTAATTGAAATAGTCCTTAGCTAATTGTGACCACGACGATAGACAGAAGCAAATAATATTAGATAAAATGTTTAACATGGCAGTTTGGTGAAATGATAAAAAAACTGCACATTATTATACAGTATTCTAATTCTTGAAAATTCCTAAGGGACTAGATATAGAATGCAATGACAAAATATATAATAGGCCTAATACTAATGTCTAATGACAAGTAGATTAATTATAATCATGCTTCGTCAGCTTGAAAATGGTGTTCACACCATAAAAAAACTGGTTTTGTAACATATTACTCATACAGATAGTATTTTATTCACTGCTGGGTTTCTTGTGTCCCATCGGGTCTGATGAATTTTGGATCAATTGAAGCATGGCATTGGATGCGGCGAACATAGTGTGGTTGAATACTATTATTATTACACTTTATAATTCTTGAAAATAACCAAATGGACTGGTTTTAGATTTCAGTGTTTAAAAAATCATAGGCCTAATACTAGTGTCTAATGACAAGTAAATAAAAGGTTGTTGTTGAGCAATTTGCAGTCTGTTCACTGCGGAGAATCGAACTCCATATCTTAGTACTGTAAGTCCGGCTGACCCACCGGGGGGAAAAAAAATGTAAGAAAGGATTTTTGGATATCCATTAAAAAACTATTTGCAGAGGTTAAGAGAAGGCAAAACGTACATAAAAATCTAACTAATGTATATTAATTTTATAAAAACCCACAGCAAGTATTAGTAGTTTAGATTTCTATCAAATAAATAGGCATTTCCTTTAAAAGAGGTAGTTTAAAAACGAGACTGTTTACTTACGACTTGCATTTTATTCACTCTTCCGTTCCACACCAGTCTTTCGTCAAACAACGGATCCTGATTGGTCCCAATGAAAAAGGGTTCCCACCCGAATAATCTCCCATGATATTTTCTTTTAGTGGTGATGAAAATCTTCAAACTGTCTATTGAACCATTAGTCTGTAACCATCCATCCAGATTTGGAATTCGATGACATACGTCACAAACATATTGATGGAAAGATATGGCAAGATTAGTTTCCATAAGAGTTTTTAAGTCTGATTTTTTTGTCGGTGGTTGTATTCCTGACTTCACCTCAAAAACGGGTAACACAAACACCTGGCGTTTCGTCGCGAAGTTTGAGTTTTTCTTTTTCATATTCTCCACAAGACGAAGAAACCGAGGAATTATGTTTTCGCTGGGATACAACTCAACATCTGAAGCGAAGACGTAATGTGTTTTAGCGTTTAATCTGGCGACGTTTCTGGCGACGTTAATGGGGTAAGGAAGATTATTGCTTACTACGTAAGTTAAGTTTTTTGTTAAAGGTCTAGTTTTACAATCTATTTGTGTGTGTGTAGACAGTGAGTAATTGATCTGCAGTAAGAGAGTATTATTGAAGCTGAGCACGTTCGTTGTTATAGCGTTTGTTTTAGCGCGATTGTTGAAGTTAAGTGTATCGTAAAGTTACATTCCGAAAGAATAAACCAGTTTTATTAAGTAAGGACTTGTGTCGCTAAAGTTTCGTCGGAACGAAGTTACGGAAAGTCAATTAACAAACGGAGACATAACAATATTAAACATTATCACTTCTACGGCAGTTAACTTCACGCCAAACTTTTCCTTGGCCGTGACTTTACTCCCTTTTGCTATTGTCTGTCTGCTGTTTTCGTTCATCTCACACTGTTTATATATTTATCACTTAATCGTCTGCCTGACTTCTAGAAATCTCTATATTCTCGACGTCAATGTATTGCACGCGACGTTCGATAGTATCAACATCAATGAATTGTAAACACAACTTCCAATAATCGTCAGCTTTCAACTCTCTTATTATAAAAACACACACTAAATAATCATGAAATACTTACTAACAAAGTAATAAATTAATAATACCTACACTAAACAGACTTTTATATCATGACAATTTGATTTCATTTAATACAAGGATTTATGTGAATTTGATGTTTAACACTCATGATCTAATCTGTTAGAGCCTTCCCATAAAAAAAAATGTTGAGGTTCTGTATGAATGCCAAAGACGTATTTTATACGGTAAAGGGTCAACTTGTGATGATATATACATGATAACAAGAACCTCATAACAAAAAGTACTATAATAATTTTTGTGTGTCCGAAGTCTTTTGACGATCACAAAATCCACTCGCCTCTTCTCTCAATTGACTTGTTTTGTATGAAATATTTATTTTCCTTCTTTTATTTTCATTTTTAGGCACATGAACTCTGCTTCTTGGACTATGACCTCCACATTCTTGACGACGCCTTCCTTGTCCACGCCCCTGGAATCAAATACTTCCACAAATATGTTATGAGAATGAATCAACTGTTTGTGGCTAAAAATCGTAGGGTCTTAAGACAGGATCTGAGATGGCTTCGAGAAAACTACAAAACTGAGGGCTGCTGAAGGAGCTGATAAAGTAACCACAAATATTTGAGTTACTAAACCCAAGCTGAGAAAG